TAGTGGCCAAGCGCTCACCTGCACGCGCTCATATATATCGCCATCAACTCGAGCACGTGCGGACTCCAAGTTCTAGCTCATCATCGCATGTACAAAATGCTAGAAAGGGTCTCGCCGCTGTGCCAACAAGCCTCGCCTGTGCAATATGCTCTGCTTATAACCTGAACCCTGAAATCGCCCTAGGCTCGGCAAGATCGATGCCCCGGTCGTGCTTCGTGTCATTCCTCTGCTCCTTGGCATCATTGAATAATAAGAGGGGGCGTCGTGTCTTTCCATATGTTCAACTTATCAGATATAGTTGCTAAATGTTAGATAGATCGCCGGTCGATGTACTTGCGATTTCGTGCTCAAACTGCGAGGAGGTGATGTGCTAATACAAATGCTGGCCACACAAAGGTTGGGATCTTTTTAAGAGTTGGTGAAATTCGGCTTTCTCTTTTCTGCAAAGGCCGCCATACCTGCTTGCCAGCGTCAGTCAGAAAGGAAATCTCGGGGGCCCCAGAGGAGGATATCCCACACGCACCCTCCTTTTGATCCGCCGTCGCAAACGTCATGTGGAACAGCCGACGCTCGGTCGTCAGTCCCTCCGACAAACCCTGCTCGAACGCTACAACCCACACACATACACAGCAGACATAAATGAGTTTCGGAGAGAAAGAAGAAAGCTCAAGAATAACGCGTAAGCGTACGTACCAGCGTTGACGGCCTCCTTCTGCGCCTGCACCACAATGCGGCTCTTATCCGCAATCTCCCGCGCGAGCACAACGGCCTCGCGCACGACCTCCCCTTCGCCCTCTCCAACGACGCGGCTGGCCATGCCCCACGCGGCCGCCTCGCGCGCGCTCCACGTGCGCCCCGTAAGCGTGAGCTCCATCGCGCGCGACTTGCCCACCGCGCGCGCGAGCCGCTGCGAGCCGCCGCCGCCCGTGATCGTGCCGATTTTCACCTCCGGTTGTCCGAATTGCGCATTTGGCGCCGCGAGGAGGATGTCGGCCATCAGCGCGAGTTCGCAGCCGCCCCCGAGCTGCGCGATCGAACGAATAAATAAATAAAATAAAAAAACACCGGCGCACGTCAGCGCGCGGAAGAGGCCATGGGGTCGTAACTTACCGCGTAGCCGCTAACGGCGGCGATGATCGGCTTGCGGATCTTCGTGATTTCCTGCCAATTTTCTAAATACTTGTTCTGGTACACGTCCGCGACTGGACCACCCGTACGCGTACGCGTAAAAGTCCCTCAATGCGTCAACACGCAGGCTCTGCGATCATAAAACCCGGCACTTTTTTGTGCATGCACTCACATGATTTGTCCTTCATCTCCTTAATGTCGGCACCAGCTACAGTAGTGTTCAAGTCAACCCCCCCCCCAAAAAAAAAAAACGTAAGCGGCAGGTGGCGCGCAGAGCAGAGCCGCACCAGCAAAGGCCTTCTCGGAGCCTGTAATGACGATGGCACCGATCTCCTCGTCTGCGTCGATCAGGCGCATGGCCTCGTTCAGCTCGGCGAACAGCGCGCTGTTGAGAGCGTTGAGCGCCTTTGGGCGGTTGAGCGTCACGAGTGCGACGCCTGGCTCCGGGCGAGACGTGAGTATGTTCTCGTATTTCGCGCCAAAGGCGGACATGAATCGGGTGGGCGTAAAGCTCAAAGTGAACTTGTGTGGCGACGAGAAGATGGCACGGGTCGCGAGTTGACGACACAGAAAAGACATGGTGCGGGACGAGCATTTCTTAACAGAGTCCGAGAGCGCTTTAAGCCCCGTGCGGGGAAACGGAACGGCACGGCGTCCCGTCGGGCTCTAGCTAAGCGGAGCAATTGCTAATCACGAGACATTACACTGAAGAACAACTAGCGATTATTCCTGACAAGGGTCCATGTAATAACAACGACAAGTCCTAGGTACACACATCATACTATCCGGGAGGAGACAAGGAGAGGTAGTGTTCACCTCCAAAAGCCTAATTGTTTATGGAGGAAGAGAAAAGGTGGACGACAATAGTAGAACGGTTGCTGAAATAGATCTGTATTACCGAAGAGGTAATGGAGCAGTGAGTGGGGCCAACTCATAGCAGTTGGCGCCATCCGTTATCCTTGGCCTTCTTGACGAGCCTTTTCACTTCCTGCGAACGGGCACGTGTCGTGACCAGTAGAGTGTCAGGCATATCGACGATAACGAGGTCGTCTACGCCTAGGCACGCGACAAGCCGGCCGGAACCAGGAACGACGATGCCACCAGCGACTTGCTCAGTGAGAACTATCCGGGCGCATGAGCTCGTGTGGCAAGGACCACCAATACATGGTGAACGTACCCAGTCCGCTGTCGCCAAGAATACGGGGTTGGTTTGCTTCTGCAGGCAAAAGTTCGGCAATCGACGAAAAGTCCCCAACATCATCCCAACCTGTGGCGCAGCCACTGATTAGTCTGCGCAACGGTTGGGAGTACATACGCACCGAACGTCGCTGGCACGACAGCGACACGGCCCTCCAACGCTGCGGGCTCAGCCACAGCATGGTCAATAGCGATCTTTTCGAGGTTGGGCCACACCTCTTCAAGTACCTTGCTGCGTTGGGCCTCATCATCCCAGACTGCAGCAACTTTCGCTAGAGCTTCCTCAAGATCGGGTTTGTACTCCCTAAGCAATTCGAGCAAGAATGATGCCTTCGTAACGAACATTCCTGCATTCCAGCGGTATGAACCAGTAGCGATATACGCGGCAGCAGTACGCGCGTTGGGTTTTTCTTTGAAGCTCGATACAAGGCGTGCGTTTGGGGCCTCAGGGATGCCCAGCTTGTCACCCAGCCGCACATAACCGAAACCGGTGGACGGGTGCGAGGGTGCGATGCCAATGGTGACGAGGTAGCCCTTCTGTGCGACCTGAACAGCTTCGGTGACGGCGCTAAGGAAGGCGTCATCGCCCGAGATCATATGGTCAGCTGCAAATGAGCCAATGACGGCATCAGGGTCACGCTGGGCGAGGATTGCCGCAGCGAGTCCGATTGCGGCCATCGAATCTTTCGGGCCGGGTTCACAGAAGAGGTTGCGTGACAATAAATCAGGAAGCTGTTCGTGGATGCTTCTAACATGGGCGGGGCCAGCGACGACCGTGAGACGATCTGCGCCGGTAAGTGGCAGCAACCGATCCCAGGTTGCCTGAATCAAACTACGGCCTTGAAGGGTGACGTCGAGGAGGAACTTGGGGTGGTTCTCTCGCGACAGGGGCCATAGGCGCGTGCCAGCTCCTCCGGCAGGGATGACAACATAGAAGCCGGGAATTTCACGAAGAGGCCCAAAAGGATAAGAAGTCACGCAGTTGTCGCCCAGTGGCGATGCTATATGTGTAGACGGTGGGACAGCAAGTGAGGGAATTGAGTTCGAGTTGAGGAAAGGGGACTTTGCACGAAGCTGGGGAGAGCTAGGGGCTGGGGTGTTAGAGCCAGGAGTCCCTAGATGGGGGCTACGCATCTGCTACCAATCAGTTAGCATCATTTTTTTTTCGCGCCGTGACACGCGGAGGGGGCATACACACCGCGGCAACGATACCCTCCTTAACTTGACGCTCAAGACTGAAATTGGCCTGGCGCAACTCAGTACATTCCTGACGAAGCTCGGCAATCTCTGCGCGCTGGGGAAAAAGGTGTCAGGAAGGTCGTGAACACGCTTGGCGAGGCGTAGCACTGACGGATTTGAGAACGACTTCCATGATCTGGGAAAACATGGACTCGACATTAGAGTGACTGGCACCAGAGGGGGCGTGGGGAGTTAGCGGCGAAGCAGAAGGACGAAAGAAGGACATGATGGCGAAAGAGTGAGGCGAGGCGAGGAGAGAATGATACTTATTATAAGTTAGTGCGAGTGAACCCCCAACGTGTCTCGCCCTTTTGACGGCATCCGTGCGCGCTTGCTTGGCCGGTGCACGTGGGCCACACACACTCTCCTCTCCTCATTGTCAATTGGCGTCTAATTGATTGTTTTGATATCGATCCTCTGCTTCCTAGTCCATTCTTTCTTTGGTCAAGTGCGCTTTTCATACCACCCGGGCTTAGTGCAGCAGGTGGTTGAACTGCTTCCCGTATTGCGCAGAAGGAGCAAGATTTCGATCTACGATCACAAGGGCTGACGGGTTTATATCACACTGCGACATCATTTATGATTTGGCATCGTTTTAGCCTGCCCGATTAAACCAAATGGTCTCTCAGTGATCAAAAGTAGTTGTTCACCGCCGAGGCTGAGGGACCGCCTTCCTATAATCGGAGACTAATAAGGCCCCTTAACAGCACCTTAGCGTGACGTTCGGGATCTTCCAGGTCACTAGAGTGACAGGAATGTCCAAGGTGACATGCTCTAATCGCCTCTAATGGTAGCAATTTATTGAGCCCTTGTGCAGTAAATAGAGTCCGTGCTCTCAGATTACCCAACGTGCATGGCCTCACGCTAGTGTCCAGAAGTTAAGGGGCCCCTGGTATCCATGCGTTATTCAGGACTACCATTCACATCTGCGGCGTGGGTATGGTAGGCCCGAGGTCACCCCGGTCAATGTCAGGATGGCGTGCTTTGCGCTAGGTGGTTCCATTGGTTGGCACTCGGCATGTCTGGCGTACATTGAACCCATATACTGTACATACATCTGCTCAAGCCCAGCAGGCATCGTGCACGCGCACCTACGATAGTGGCTCTCGCACCGTCATCGTCCAAGGCACGGCTCATTTGTTACGGTCAGCTGGGCTACAACAATACAAAAAGGGCAAGTGTAGTTACGTGGAAGGGTATCAGCCTGAATGGATCCTGCAAACAAGCTATGGCTTCTCAGGTCGATGCCCTTTCAGATGCGTTGTCATGGATCCAAATATTAAATCAAACACAAACCCGGTGATCATCTTGCTCTCCTCAGCCCTGGTTACCCACAAATCATGATTAGGACCCATTTGATTGGTTGAGTGATGAATGTCGTCGGTGTGTGTTGGTTGGTTACCATATCAGAAGGATGGCCCGATCCAGGGCCAAAAAGGCGCTACCAGGGTTCGAACCTGGGTTAACGGAAGATTACACAAAGGTCAGAATCCGTTGTGATAGCCACTACACTATAGCGCCGTTATGAAATACATATTATGGTCATATAGAGGTGTAGAGTAATTTTCTCTTCTCTACCCAGCTGTCCAGCTGTCCGCCAGCGCCAGTTAGTTCTTACACGTCTTTTGCGCTTCGGATCTTGTTGACCGCCGAGCAAGCAGGAAATGGAGATGATTTTACCGGGCCGAGATGATGGATGATGTGGATGATGGCCCTTGACTGGAACGAAACGGGTCTGCACAGCGATCTATATTCTCCACAACTCCAATGACAACCAACCCATCCCATATCCTCATTGCACGCAACTCCCGTGGCCAGTCAAATACTTCTGCGCCTCTCAGCTCACCCACAGAGACCCATGCCGCAGCGGCGGGGATCTTCCGCTCCTCGGCTGGATCACCACCCTGGTTTTTCGAAGGAGTGGATACGGAGGATGCTGTCTCCGATGTCAGCATCAGCGACTCGCAGGAACCCATCGACGTCGATGAGCCGTTCACCAAAAGCTCAAAGTTCCCCGGGACCGTCAAAATCGTTGTCGAGAGCACGACATTCTGGTGCGTGTGATCGCTGCTCATCCAACTCATCACGTCCACACTGATGATCGGATCTTTTGTAGGGCACACAAGGAGGTCCTTTGGTTCGCCTCACCGTTCTTCCAGGCCGCTCTGAGCGGAAACTGGGCAGAGACTGGACGCCCGCTCTCCATGTCCTCTGTCATTACGATCTCTCAAACACCCATAGTCCCCGGGGACAAAGTACATCCTGATGCGCCTACGGCCATCACGTTTGCACCCATGGACCCTGACCTGGATCCCGACGAGCTCGATATTGACCTTTCAGAGACAAGCGAACCCGAGGTTATCGAGTCGTCCACGTCAACCGTTATTGTCTCTGAAGGGGACAACAAGCAGACCCATGGGCCTGGGGTCGAATCAGGTTTACCCTCCGAGGCCGAGGTCCGGAAGAAAGCCCATGAAGCTGCACGAATGGAGAGCTTGGAGAAGCTTCAGAGGGGTGCTAGTGGGAATGCCGGCGCGGGCTCAGTAGAATCACCCAACGACCCGGGCAAGAGCATCATCAAGCTCTCGTGGAAGCGCGGAAACGCACAGATATCCGCTAGGCGTCACCAAGTGACGAGCAATCCTGATGCCGTAATAGTCCTCAAAGAGGAGAAGGTGTGGTCCTTCGTAGCGTGTTTACAAACTTCACCTCATCCCTCATGGGTGTCTACAGGCGAGCACCTTTCACGATTTTCTCCGGTTCGTCTACCCTGGGTACGCCTCCCTTGCAATGAAGCAGAAGGGACACGCCGTATTGACCTGTGGCGCAGCATGGAGTGCACAATCACATGGAACAACGTGGAGGGCCTCATGAATATTGGAAACAAACTCTGCGTGCCCTCTCTTCAACGAATCTGCCTCAATTTTCTCCTTACACACGCAGCTGGTCGGCCGATAAAAGCGATGCGCATTGCAGAACTATTCGAAGAGGAAGAACTGTATCGCGAGGCCTCACGCTTCGTGCTCGACAATCCGGGCGGATGGCCGGAGCAGGAACTCAGCACGCTCAGTAGCGACACGCTACTGAAGCTTGAAAAGCGGTAAGTCCTTCTCCCTCTTTTCTTGTGCCGAATGCCCCCGGCCGCCATCTGCGTCCTGATCGCTTACTAACGACAATGGCACCCCGCAACAGGCGCACCTGGTTTCTCGAACGAGTGCTCAAGCTGGGCCTCGTCCAGATCGCCAAAGAATACGAATGCGTGCGTTAGTTTCCACTCACTGTTTTTTTTTCCCGTCCCGCGCGACGAGGAAAAAAAAACATTCAGGAACATGGAAACTTATCGAATTTGACTCACACGCGTGTGTGTCGTCCCACATATAGTGCCCGTCTTGCCCAGAACCGGCTACGTGCGCAAGAATGCTCGACGACAAGTGGCGGCAGGCCTACCACGCCGTCTTCCGCTTTGGTCCGTGCCAACCCTCGATGGTCTTCCGGTACCTCCGCACGCTCGAAGGCGTCAGCCCGCCCCTCGCGCTCTCGCACCTCACGTGCCAAACGACGGCCAAGGCCTTCATAGCCACGCGTAGGTCGTGTTCCTTTGGCAGTTGTTATGATGGGTGACTTTGAACGCCGACCATTCCACAGTGTTCGATCGCATGTTCTCGCTCGGCGTGCGTGGGAGCGGCACGGACACGGCCCCCTCGGCGCCCGCGTCGCGGCAGTCGCGGGCATGGCGAGCGCGACGCTCCCGCGACGTCATTTCCTGTATTGCTCGCTCAGGCCGGAGAACCCCGTGCCTTCGCGTGGGAAGCGACATCACCGTCGCGAGACTGCGTCTTGAAAAGACCGACAGTAGGCCTTTTCTTTCTTCTGGCTGTTCTCGGGCGTGGACTTCTCACTCACTCACACCCTCTCATGTCCGTTCGCCTGCCGTTGCATCGTTTCCGCCGATTCATATTTATTTATGTACGCATATCTTATTCGTTGGGCAGTAGGTGGGGTAGGGTTGGGCCACTGGCTGGTATCTGGCTGTGCAGGACTTACTTTTTTGTATTTTGGTTTCCAGGTCCTTCGTAGTCTGTTGACGGAAAGAGATTCAAATGAATATCAGGTTCCTTGAAGGGTCTTCCACCTGTTCAAATTGATGAAAGGTATCTTGGAATCCTTTGACAAGGGCCGAGTCGAGAAAACGTTTGTCTTCTGCATCTTCAGACATGGTGTGGCACACATAGTAAGAGCACGAATAGAGAACAGGTCAACAGGGTGCACTTGGATATATTTTTAAAATTTGAAACATCAACATTCCACGTACATATACACCTCTATCACAAGTACCCAGAAAACGTCAAGAGACCGGAGTCATAGGTTGATGTCCAAATACCTGCAAGTCAAATAACTGTAATAAGTAACGTCACGACTTGGGATGATCATGCGATGCACCCTCAGGTTCTTTTTTGTTTGTTGTTGCTTTTCTGTGTCAGCTTGACACAAAAAATGGATGGGATCGACAGAGTAAGCAGCAAGGTGCTGGGCTACGATGGCTACTACATGCCACATAGGCCACACCATCACCTGGGTTTACTGTGCAACACCTTCAGTTGCCCGTCGCCGCGGTAATCATAGCGAGCGCACTGGTATTGACCTAAGTGCAAAGTAGAACGCGAGCTAAGTCACCATAGTGTCACCATCCTGTGTCCTGACGGACTCCGAACCCTGCTATATTTTGTGATCATGCTGGATTATGGTGAACTAGCAAAACAGTGGAGACCTCTGGAAACCTAAACATCGAGCAATGGACGTGAGTGAATAGCAATGTTATGCAGTAAGTAGACAACGTGGACGTGGAGCGTGAAGAGAACGGAGAGGAGAGAAGAGCACTTACAATCATCGATCATGGATATCAATAGACCACCGTTGAACAACTACAGGATGGTCGGAGAGCTGGCACGCGGCGACAAATGATTCTATGGCTTGCTGCACAGAACCGTATGGTTGATACTCCTCCAAGAAAGTATACGCAGCTCAGGCAACACTTCTATAGCCCTTGCCCCGGCGAGCTCTTGCAGAGCAGGTGCGATGAGTGGTACGAGTTGCGTGGATACACACAAACTTTGAACAGCAATAAATGGACGGAAAAGCTCCAGCCATTGCGGGGGGGTCCATGTTCATAGCATTCGGTTGATCACGGGGACGATGGAGTTCGAGGCGCTCCACATGAGAGAGAAAAGGCGACAGCTCCTGGCACACCAATGCCATCGACGTGACCCCCTCACTACATCTAATTGTCAATCTGAAACCATCCGATAGTAAAAGACTGATCCAAATGAAAATATCAAAGTTCACCATGGGTCGAGTGGGTACCTTGGGCCTTTCGGCCCGACTAATGAATCTGTAGAGCTGCGGGATGTGAAAGACAGGGCCGCTGAATTTTATCAAGAAGGTCTGGAGTGCGGGAGCATCGATTCGAGCAATCAAGTCGTCCAAATACTCGCAAGCACCTCTGAAGCGGAAAAAAAATGAGAGTGGGGAGCACAGTGCGTGTAGACAGGGGTGGAATTCTTTGATTGGGGTGAGGTCTCAAAGAGTCGTATTCGATAAGCAAGTGTCGAAGACGGGGCAACGCAGCTAGGCAGGTGGCCATCGCCTCGGGTGAAATGTACCCGGTGATCGGTATTCCCCAAAGCTCGAGCGTGACAAGGTGACTGGCAGATAAAAAGTAATTTGGGTAATGCCGGAAATACAATTCTGTAAAAAACCAGAGTTCGTAGGGATGGCACAGATCTGCCCAAGAAGGCCTCGGGAAGGACCAGATTACCATTTGAACTAACACAAAGGTATGTCAGCGCTGGGAAATGGTTCCCGCATCGCAGTGGCGAATCTCTCCGCCAGGGAAAAAAACATATCAAATATATCTCGGCTACACGATCACGGTGTGCGAGTGCAGCAATGATGCTGTCATCTAAGCCTAAGCCCCGCATTGTGTATATGACAATGGGAAGGGGTGGCCAGATATTCAATGACTTCCTCACTGGTTTCGTGCGGGTGCACTCGAGGACCAGACGCAGGCGCAGGGGTGATGCAAAGATGGTGTGTCACCATCTTCGGCACACATGCACCAATGTTTGCCACCACGATCGGTTAGCTGGGTTGAGTTTTTGGTAGAGAAAGAACACTTCTAGGAGAACCTCGTTTGGGAGTATGTCGATTGACACATGGCCTACTAGTACAGCCCACCCGTTAGTGATCATCGATCATCGGCAGACGTTGACTTCGTTGCTCTTTACCGGACTCTCCCAGGTGGCCTCTGGGACACTCCTCCATTATCGAGCTTCAGGAGAGAGGTCTATCAGGATAGACAATCTGAGGATGCAAGGAAATAAATACTGGACAATGCTGTTGACTTGGAAGGCGACTAGCTTGGTGAAGCGCAGCGGGACAGGGCAGATAAGATAGCGCGAGTGGTAGAATCTCTCTTCGTCTCTCTATTGGAATATGTAGTAAAAACCTATTTAAGTACTGTA